TTTGAAATCCAACAGATATGAATTCCTTGAAAAGTTCTAACACATATGATTATTATCCCTCATAATAACAATTTAATGTATAAAAAACAAGCATAAAATTTTTTTTATTGAAAAGTCCAACACATATGATTATTATCAAAATATTAAACTTTAATATAATATAATAAAAAAAGACATTTAATTCCTTGAAAAGTCCAACACATATGATTATTATCAAAATATTAAACTTTAATATAATATAAAAAAAGAAAAAAAAGAAGACATTTAAAATAATAATAATAAAAAATTTAAAAATCACAATCTATTTATACTATATATTAAGCAAAATGAGGTTTTTAACCTCCAAGGCTTGTGAGAGCTCCAATATCCCAATTTGAATTTTCTAAATTTTTAATTTTTTTAAAAAAAATCTCAGTATTTATTGATTTGGTCACACTCCCCTGATCAGCATTTATTAACTTTTTTCAATCCACATATCTTTCCATATGTCTATATTTATTGATTTGGTCAAAATTCCCTGATCAACATTTAAAATCCCCTCAAACAAATAATTATAGATACAATCCGTACATAATTACTGCAGTACCCTTTTCAACTTCTTCAATACGCTATGGTTAGTGATAAGATTGTTAAATTATTTTTATAAAAAATCTTAGAAAACATAATTTACATTTAAAAAAAAATCTAAAACAAATATAAATATTTATAATTATTTCGTGCATAGCACGGGTGATAGATAATTCACATATATAGATAATTGTAAACACAATCCGTGCATGGAAGCTCCAATCTCCCAATCTGAATTTTCTAAATTTTTTATTCAAAAAAAAAAACTAAGCATTTATTAATTTGGTCAAAATTTCCTGATCAACATTTATTAACTTTTTCCAATCTACATGTCTTTCCACATGACTGCATTTATTGATTTGGTAAAAATTTACTGTTCAACATTTAAAATTCTCTCATACAAATAATTATAAATACAACCCGTACATAATTATTATAGTACATTTTTTAACTTCGTGGGTCTCGCCATTAATGATGCGATGTTTTGGTCTTGAAGTTGTATTTTTTTTTTTTTTTTACTTTTTTAATACACTAGTGCTATTAATGGTGATATTTTTAATGGGATAAATCATTGTTATAAAAAAAATATATATCAAAATACATTAACTTTTGGCTTCTTCTGACTTCTTCTAATAAAAAAGAAAATAAAAGGGTCCATCAAAAAGGCATGCAAAAGAGAGGAGGCGAGACACCGGCCAGAAGCGACACCTCTGCCACCGTCGCCCAGAGCCACCTTTGCACAAGAGGGCATCAAATCGGTATTGGGACATCGATCAGAATACCCTCCAATCTTGTGAAGAGTCTGCGATTAGGTAACTAAAAAGCTTTTTTTCTTGAATTTTTTGATTTGTTGTTTTGTCTAATGCCTACCATGAACCAATGAGGACAAAAACCAAATACAAAAAATTAAACACAATGCACAAAATTGCTTCCTTCTTCTGTTGCAGAAATCCCAATCTAGGTTTTTTTTTCCTCTCCTCTCAGCCTCCCTCTGTTTTGGAGTTGTTTATGTAAATCGTATATGTGAATCGTATCTGTAACTGGGTTTGTCTTACAAAAAATCAAACATTGGAATCTAAGGTTTTTTTTTTCTCCAGTTTGATCTAGGTTTTGCTTCATTTTTCATCTCATCTCCAATGTTGTTTTCCTTTCACGTTAAGCATTGGATTTGACGTAGCTGAGTTTTTTTATGACTGTTATTCATACATCCACCTCCATTATCGGTTTTCTTTACACTGTCATCTGCTTTTTGAAGTCTTGATTTCTTTGAGTTTAAAAAGGGGGGAAAAAGAGGAAAGAGAAAGAAAGAAAGGAAACAAATCTTGTGAGATTATTATTATTCTTATTATTATTATTATTATTATTATTATTATTTATTTAGAAGGATTCGGGGGATACATGCTGCCCTTAGGGATAGCAATTACTGCAACACCTTTAAACTGCTATGTTTTGGTCAGGCCATGACTTTTCCTCTTACTGTCTTTGTGTGAACCATTATGCTTTCCAAAGTTTGAAAAGCTATTTCCTGAAGGATCTGTGCTCTTTAATATAGTAGTTGTTAAATAAGAATTGTGGCCAAAAATCTCTCACACGCAAGGATAGAGTGGGGACTAAGGTATGTATAAGAAAATTTAACTTAATTTTAATACATAATAGAATTTGTATTTGTTCAATTCATTTCTTAATGGGTTTGAATTTTGTTTTTTTATAAATAAATCTTTGGGTTTAGTTTGATTATTTGATTAAAAAAAAGTCAATTGATGGTGTTTGATTACAATTCTAGATTATAGATTATTTGATTTTTTTCCGCTTATTTAACTCGGAAAAAGTGAGATTACTTGTAATTTTTTTGAACTTAAGAATGTGCTTGAATTCATCTAAAATTAAGTAGAATAGGTTTGAATTTCAATTTAGAAGCTAAATAGTATACTGATAGTAGAAAGAAATGAGATAAAGAGAGATTATCTTTAATTAAATTCCATGTATATATAATAATTTAGTTGCCATTTTTTTTTATTTTAATATTAGCGAAGATATGTATCAATACTAACACTGAGTACACCAGGAAAATGAAATCTTAGAATACCACCATAGTGTATTTGCTAATCATTTTTCACATTGGTGGAGGTTGTGCCTCTTTGAGTTGGTTCAGACCATGGTTGTTTTGTTGTGGTTATGCCTCTAATTAGGTTGCTTCAAACCATGATTGTTTAGTTTGGTTGTCAGGTGGCATGAGAGGTGTCACACTCTTCATGGTTTTCTTGAAAATATTGTTGGCTTTAGAATTTCATTCTTATTCTTATTATTATTATTATATGATATTGAATAAATGATGGGCATGACAACCCGATACTACATGCACGAGGCAAAGAAGATCTCAATCATATGCTATTAGCTATGAAGCACAGGTACGGGTACGAGTACTGATACTGGTACGATACGGGTACGTCGATACGGTAAATTCAAAAAAAGTAGGGTACGGGTACGGTTTGGTACGCTTGTAAAAAAATATTTATTTTTAATTTATAGTAATGTAAAATTAATTAAATGGTTTAATTTGTTAAGATTTAACCTATAATTAACATTTAATGCCAAAAGTAAATATATAAATCAAAATTAAATGTCAATATATTTTACAAACCATAGTTTAATTTGAAAAACATGCTAAGTATAAAACTAAAAATAAAAAAGAAGTCTAGTTAAAGGGGTTTTATCTCTATAGTAGAAGAAAATATTATTTCAACTGAAGTACGGTACGGCTTGAGTATATAGTAGGTACGTCTGGGTACGCCAAAAATTAAGAAGAAAAAATTTGGGTACGTGTTTCGTGTACCTGGTACGTATGAAGAAGTACCACACGAGGTACCATACGCCGGTAAGTACCCGGTACGGGTACGGCTTGTTTTTCGAAGTACCCATGCTTCATAGGCTATTAGTAAGTTTGTTGTCCCCTAGTACATGTGACTAACTAAGGATGTCATTTATATACTTTTTCAAACACGGATAGCATAGGATATCCATATGTTTAAAACATTTCCATAGAGTCACTACTACAATAATGGTTAAAAGTCACTTTTAAGAATGAATTTAGATAAGATTCATGCTTAAAAGTAGCAAATCATGAGCACAAAACTCTAAAATTCGCTCAAAGTGTGGTATGCTTTATTCTGAATTTATGTTCAATGTTAAGAAGTATAGATAAGGAACATGAGGTTGCACCTGCCTTGCTCCATTCTACAGTCTTGATGTATATATTTTATAACTTTCTTTTGTTTTATTTTAAAGCTATTAAATATATTTTTATAGTTTTTTTATTTTTTATTTTTTTTATTTTATCAATTTGACAATTCTAATGGCTTCTCTGAGCTGCGTTTGCATTGCTGAATATATCTATTGAATTGTGGTTTTAACTTTGCATATCTAAACATCATTTATAATTTTTAGATTATATATCACTCTCCTAAAGAAGAAATAGCCTTTGGACCTGGTTGTTGGTTGTGGGATTATTTAAGAAGAAGTGGGGCTTCTGGTTTTCTGCTTCCACTTTCTAGTGGTGCTAATAGCCCATCTATTACTGCTGCATGTGTCAGCTTGTAGTAAAAGGTAAGTTTTTAGCCTGACATATAATGGCAGTATTCTAGTACTGTACCAAATAATATTCTGCAAATCAACTCATAATTAATTAATTTAGGTACTTCATAGCACAGTAATTTAGGTACTTACCTTTTCCATGATTGGTAAGACATTTTCTAAACCCATATATATATAGTGAGAATTGTATCTAAAACCCCCAAATGTTTTCTAAACCCAAATGTTTTCTAAAAACTTACCTTTTCCATGACTGGTAAGATGTTTTCTAAACCCAAATATATATATATATATATATAGTGAGAATTGTATCTAAAACCCCCAAATGTTTTGCCTCTTGATTCCATTGATTGATGTGTGGAAAATAAAAAGATGTTTGCTTCTTCAATTCTATACGATAATTATTCTTTGTACTGTGCATTTTAGGTGTTTGATTCTTTGTCTTTTGATTTTTTTTTTTTTTTTTTAATAGAGGAACTATCTTGAATGTTGTTAATTGTGTGGGTAGGGTGGTGGGTTGGTTTGTTTGTTGATCTTTGCTTGTCTTCAAGACTTCAAGTGAGTAAAAGAAAAAAAACAAACATTGTGCTTTGTAATATCAAATCTTTAATTTCAAAATCATGCACACAGGTTAGTTGACTTTGAATGGTGTAAGGTGTAAAGATAGGCTTGAAACTATTATGAAAGTGAATTCCCCCACCCCCTTCCCTTTTATCTCCTTTAAGTAGTGAAAAAACAAATCCTTGTGCAAGCACCAGAGATGGGATTACTGGCAGCAGATTTGGTATTATACGTTGAAATACCACCAGAGATAATTTGTTCTATTATCATGTTTATTGGTGAAATTAGGGTAGGATAACTTTAATATCTCATCCATGTTGCGAAGCTTTGCAGTTTGAGTTAAAAAGCCCGCTTTTTGGATGGCTTGTTTAGTAATTGATGAAAAAGTTGAACTGTGTCGTGAATTGATATGTTTTGGAAGCCACATGAATATAATTTTCCAAGGTGTGGTAAAATAAAGGATGACCATTGATTTAGCTGTTGAGGTCATATGTTTTAAGACTGATTTCAGCCTTATAACAAAGTATTACTGGACTGAATGTCATGTTGAAAAACACTTGATTTGCCCATGAGTTGTTAAGTTTTTGTTGTATGATATGGTGTAAATTAAGAAATTTCCTGTGTGTATGTCCACCATTTAAAACTGTTGTCAGGGTAACTGAAAAGGTCAATTTGAAATTGCCAGAAAGCCGCTGAAAGAGGAGACTATGGAGGTGAGAAATATGAGCAGCTAGATGTTTCAAAAAAAAAAGTTGCTCGTTCCTATCAGATGCTCCGTGATGCCTCATGGAAGGTAATAGCTATGTTTTTTCTATTTTTAATGCCAAAGGAAAATAGTCTGGTGTTGTTACTCTCACCAAAAAACTATTTTGTTTGACTCCTTATGATGTCATCCTGTGGGTGCCCCCTCAGATTGTCATGATATTTTTTGGTGACAAAAGAAAATTAAAGAACAAAAATTTTGAACACTATAAAAAACTGCACCCAATTGATGACTTCATAAGCTCAAGCACTTACAACCCATACACAAAAGGAATCCCAAATGGAAACTTTTATTAAGTTACTTACTCTTCATTTAAGGAAGTCTTAAAATTGTTGTATTTTGATTTCTATCCTTGAAATATTTTATTATTTGATCAATTTATAAAATAATGTATTTACTTTAAGTGTACAGTTTCAAAAGAAACAGCATGAGAAGCACCATAATACAGCTGATGGCCGCATTAGAATATGGCTTGGAATAAGGCAAATTATGAATTCTACTGATCATTTACTAACTGAAATGAGGGACATTGTAAAAGAACTAAAAACTGGAATCCACATGGTAAGAAAACGCTCTCTTTCTCTCTCATGATATGCATATAGATCAATGTTTTTTTAGATTTTGAATTCCATAGCCTGGTACTATACATATTAAAGCTTTCTTGAAATATAAATATATTCTTAAGTTCTATGTTTAAACGTCTCGCATAACAGAAAGTGAAAATTGGATTTTACTATCCACAAACATCAACTTTGATTTAAGTGAAAATTTATATGTGGATGGTTAGATTGTAAGATATTTTTCTTTGAACTGAAACTATGCTCCTTGCAATAATGATGCCCACTGTAGGAAGTGTATTCTTAATCTCCTACTTCTTCCACAAATCATGCCTAATGGAAAACCTAAAATAGAAAGAGATCAAGTGAACACTTGTGAAATTTCAATACTGACTGTTCGTGTAGTTAGTTTTAGTTTCATCATAATTTGGGTCATTGAAAACTGTTTGGATCTGATGGCCCAAAATGAATGTATGCAATCAAACTTCCAGAGTACCTTATCATCTCGAGCAATACACAATCAAACTTTTTTGTTGTTTCCAGTGTGCTCATAGTAATTTCAGTGGTTGTGAATTTATCTATGGATGTGTCCCTGTACAGTTGATGAGATGTACCTAACTACTATACAACTATATCACTACGATATTGAATAAATGATGGGCATGACAACCCAATACTACACACACATGAGGCAAAGATCCCAATCATATGCTATTAGTAAGTTTGTTGTCCCCTAGTACATGGGACTAACTGAGGATGTCATTTATATACTTTTCCAAACATAGATAGCATAGGATAACCATATGTATAACTGAGCACTAAACTTTTCTTATGCTATTATTGCTTTGAATTAATTTTCATACTTAATTGCAGAGATTTTATATGCTCAACTGAGCACTAAACTTTTCTTATGTTATGATTGAATTTTTGAAGGCATATGATATGTGGTTCTCTGCAATTATGATGGACCAAGACTCGATTGCTACAAATTAGCAAGGTGGCAGTAGAGAGGTCATCAGGATTGCAAGTATCACATGTTTAGTTTTTGGACCATATGGATAATGATCATATGACTATGACTTTGGTTGTGTTTGTCAATCTTAAATTTTGCTGAAAATAGAGGGAAAAAACTTAAGTGTTGGAATTATGCCAATAGACACATCTTAATTTCCTCCATTTTAGATTTACCAACTTACGATGACCACCGCCACTAAACAAATTTCCCTATGTTTCTTTCTCCTCTTTACATTTGTTGAATTATTTCTTTCCTCTCTTGTGAAAGAGCATAGAACTACCAGATCGCAAAATCTTGTATCCCTTTCCCCATTTTTGTCTTGGTTTGAATTTTTGGATTAAGTCATTTTATGTTTTGGCAAATTTTTGTCTTTGATTTGGCAAATTTATCGATTTTCATGGACTGTGTTGTACATTAGGAACTTTGTTCTTCTTCTTCTTCAATAAAAAATGCAACTGAGTGTGCATAGTAGTATTGTTGTGGTGCTAGTGCATGTTGGATATTTATGTGTTTAGCGTTATTGTTGTTGTTTTTTTTTGTTTTTTGTTTTCTATAGTACGTATATGTTTAGAGTTCTGCTAATTTTAAAACCAAACCAAAAACTGATAGAACTCAAGCCAAAGTTAAAATAGGGCATCCAATCTTTAGCTACCCCTCTTTTTGGGTAATTTACCAAGAAAAAAAGGGATAATGTTTTATGCTATTTGCATTTGCAATACTCTTCTATTCATCATTCTGTTAATGTTGAATTTTGTGCGAGCAGCTCTGTTACATTGTGCTTGATTACTTGCTTACTCGTCTCAACTGCAGGGAAAGGATAAAACAGCTGAGAAGGGAAGGATAACAATTTGCATCTTTGATGATGTTGCGGAGCAGTGTCATGAAGCAGCTCTGAAGTAAATATTCCTTTTAGAACATTTATGTAGATGTACTGATTGCTATTGTGGCCATTTATCCAATATAATTTTTCTACATGTGTTGAACATATATTATGATACATATCTTCCTTTCCTTTTGGAAGCTTGCAATGACATGAACCCAGATGTCCGACAAGTTTGCACAAACTACTCAATATTTGGTTTAATCCCTAAGTTTCTTTGCTATTGATCACTTTTGAAACATGTTTATTTTCAGGCTGCTGTATATGGACTTGGCGTTTGTGCAGAATTTGGTGGTTCTGTTTTTAAACCTCTTGTTTTAGGTATAATCTGCTTCCACATTTTGGGAGTTGATTGCCTTCATATTTCCTTTGAATTGATAGTGTCTCTTTATACCTTGCTCAGAGGCTCTTTCAACGTTAAATGTTGTGATAAGGAACCCTAATGCCTTGCAACCTGAAAACATAATGGCATATGATAATGCTGTTTCTGCTCTGGGAAAAATATGTCAGTTCCATCGTGAGAGTATAGGTTCAGCTCAGGTAATTCCTCTTTCTTTATTGTTCACAAGCCTATTCAATCATAAATAATTCTGCAAAATGTGGATTCTTTGATTCTTTTGGTTCACCTTGAAACTTGAATAGATTGCGCAGAATGACTTTTAGTTATCTTAGGGTGTGTTGTGGGCTACCTTGCACCTTTTAAACTAACAAGGTCTTGACTCTTGATATGTGATTTGTTAGGCATTTATTAATCAGTATGTGTATCCTAAATATTTAATGAAATACTAGAGCTCTGAAATGGATTATTTGTTTACTTGTGTTCCCATACACTTACTTTGTGCAAGAAAACAAGATGATAAGTGATAATCAGTTGGTAACTCGTGCACAATTTTTCTTTAGTGGATGCTTCTTTAATACGGGGGATTTTTTTGTTTGTAGTGGTAGTTTCATTAATTGGTTCAGTTTCTTTTCCTTATTTGATGAAAACCAATATACTCATAGATGGACATTTCTCATACTTATGTGAAGTTTCATTTATTATGCAGACAAGAAATGCAACAGGGTTAGTTGTTCCAGCTATTGCCGTGGGTTTAGGTGCCTTAACATATACATTAGGGACCCTTGTCCCTGTGATAGGAGCAAGTGGATTTGCTACAGCTACAGCTACAACTTTTATAGGAACTGTTATCGGTAGTTTTAGATAATCGCTTAATAGTTGTCGATATGTTTAGAAAGTTAGATATGCATAGTTTTGGGTGGTTTAAACTTTTTGTACAGTTTAGAACTTAAGGATATAGTTTTCGAATATTTGGAATATATAGGTAATTGTTGAATGTTTATAATTTATGGATATAGTTTCTTTTTGATGTTTCAAACAATGTTTTGGTGGTTGATTGATATTTTGTAATTCTTGTTCGTCGTATTTGTTAGATTGTACAAAATTGGTCAAATAGAACCTGTTGAATTTAAAAAAAAAAGTGCATATTTTACGGCAGGCTTAATAAGACTTTGTATTACATATTTTATGGCCTGCAATTAGTGTCGTTATTTATCTCACCAATTAACAGCGTGCAAAAGTAGTTGTAGAAAAAGTAACAACGATGCACAAAATCTACCGTTCAATAGTTTTTAACGACGTACGAAGCATGTCGTTGAAAGTGAATGACTTTCCATGATTGGTCATAATATAATGCACGCTGCACGTCGTAGAAGGGTTTTTACTGCGTGCCGTAAAAATCATTTTTTTGTTGTAGTGTCTTTACCTCTTACTATCCCCGTTCTCCCCTTGAACCTCCTAACTCCTTCTAAAGCCCCTCATCTGCTCGTCCTCAGCTTCTACTAGGGTCTCAAGATGATCTGCTGCCTCCACAAGGTGTCTGTAGTCCCTAATCATCGACCCAGCTACATTGAAAAGAAGTCTGCTCCTCAATCTCTTCTTGAACCTCAATACAATGGCGTTCCTTTGTTGCCACGAGTTTTGGTGCACATCTAGAGAGGCTTGTGAAAGCTGCCTCAAACTTGGCTGCTAGCAAGCTCAGCTGCTTGAGCTTCAGAAATTGATCTCTCAACTTCTCTCTAGCACTGGGAGGCAAGAACTTGTTCTGGAAGGCATTGACAAAGGCCTCTCAAGTCATCCCAATGCGCCTACGTGCATACCTCGACCATTGACCTATATCCCCCTTCAGCTGGAAGGATGTCAAGGTCACTCTTAGCCCGTCATCCTCAATGTTTAGCATCTTGAACATCCTCACCATCTGTTCTAGCCACTCATCCGCCTTCAGTGGCTCCTTTAGATCACCCAAAAACTTGTTCGGATTGGATTGGAAGAACTCCCTTTTTAAGAAAAACGATCTCGGGCCTGGACATGATTCTCAGCCCTGAGAATGACTATGGAATCCCGTAAAGCTCTGGTCATTTCACTGGCTAATTGGTTCAGCCATATTGGCTTGACGAACCCCTTCCTCTTGCGCTAGAATCTCATCCGGTAAAGGCGCCTCATGCCTTCTAGGCCTACCATGCCTACCACCACCGCGTCCACGTCCTGACATCCTAATGAAGGTAACAAAAGAGATTAGCATATTTACAAATGTGTTGAAGCTAATTCGTGTCATAATGTGATGGACCACAGTAATTCACACCACATAAGCACGAAGTCACATAAACGCATATGAATTTCCTTCATAGACAATCATCGTCCCGCGGCTTTACTAGAGTTCCAATAAGAAATAACAGTGATCAAGTGCTCTTCTAATAGGACTTCTAGAAACCTGTATACCCAATCAATATCATAAGAATTAAATCTCATACCCATATAATCACATAAGCATGTTATCATATAGCATTACAAGCATACAAACATCTCTATCAAGCGAGATAAACCTAATGCGGTAAGAACTACTTTCCACGTACCCAAAGTCTTCAAACCCGGTATGCTCTGATACAAAGTTGTAACACCTCGAAATAATTACTATAACTCATACTCAACATCAAGAAATGCTCACAATGATAAAGTAGTTATCTTTCATTGATTTACATTTAAGCTTTACAAAAGAGTGATATAATAGAAAGACAAGATGAAAGTTAGACAAATAAGAAATGCCCTAAAGGCTTACATCTTTCCAAGACGATGCTTGGTTACAACAAAAGTGGACTTAAGTCCAATACAGTTAAAGCCCTTGCCTCATACAAAAGTAAATATAGTAAATACACAAAAGAAGCTCTCGTTCCAAGTCCTCCCAAACTATTGCCTTAGCGGAGGCATATCATTAGGAGTTGAAATGTTTTTCCACATAGGGTGAGCCAAAGCCCAGTAGAAATAATCTAACATAGTATATAAATCTTAACAAAGCTATAAGGTGAATGCATATGCAATGCTCGTGCCAACACATTTTTTTACGTCTCTTTCCAAAACCATGCAATGCCAAGTTAATATCATGGTTTATAAGTCATTTCCTTTACAATAGAAAATAGGGTAGTGAATCACACTCTAGGAATTTCAAAACAATACAACCTTTCCTGGATGAGGAAACCGTAAATCGGGACTTATGTAAATGTAGGCTACACAAGAACTACTATTGCCATTTCATGGAAGTTTCATCCGCGAGATTAGCACCCATGTATATGCGCGGTTTTTGGGACTTTCACCCAAGACATACATGCCAAATTATTTGATGTAACAACAATTCCTTTCCCAGATTCACCCATTTTCTCAAAATAGTAACATTTCCAATGTGTAATTGTGAGATAATGCTTAATGCAAATGAATGAGAAAATAGTTTTAATTCTCCTAATTCAACATGTAATTTCTACAACACTCATAGTTATCCTTTACCGATAGCTCAAAACAGATATTTCTAAACAGATAAACAACTATCAATAAAGATAATTCTCCAAATTTTCAAGAGGTGAGTGATAATACATATTTAACTCCACCATCCTCATAAACATCAATCCAATTTCACAATTCCAATATCAATCTCATAATTTATATAAAATCAACATTTGAGGCATTTAGAGCAAAATCCCTTTCCTTTCTAAAATTCGTTCCAAATACCAAAATCAACTATTTGTTACCAACTCAACATTTTCTTCCGCACCAAATCATTTTTAAGGACCCATTTGAAAAACCCCTCTTTTTATTTTTACACAACAACCCTAGGTTGTTACAAATCTTCCCAAAATCTCAATGTTGTTTAGAAATAATAATTAACTAAGTTAAAACTCATAAAAAAGTGTGGAAAGTATCCCTACCCGAAGCTTGAATACGAGGGATAGTGAGGGAAACCCGAAGATGCCAAAAACCAACTTTGCTCCGGTTAGAACGAAGTCCTCATCGAGCTCTATCTTTTTAACAATGACACACGGGTGAAATGATCGACGGATCTCGGTGTATTTGAGGGAAATGGGTAAGTTTTAGAGAGAGAGAGAGTAAGAGAAAATAGGGCTTTGAAATGTTTAGAGAGAGAGAGAGCGATGAAAAAGTGACTCAAAAAAGTGGTTTTACGAACTGATATACACACAATTCGCTCGAGCGCAAGATGTGTCACTTGAGCGACCAGACACAATAAGTTTCACCGCTCGAGTGCAAGAAACCTAGCTCGTGCGTAGAATACGAACTGCTAGTAGTTTTACAAATAGACGATCGTTGATTGAGCACAAAAAGCTTCGCTCAAGCGAAGAATACAAACTCCCAATAGTTTTACAAACCTACAAAAGTACTGGAGGTTCACAAAGACTGCTCGAGAGCAAAAAGTGTCGCTTGAACGAAGGAACTGAATTCTGGGCATCAATAATTTGAAAAACAAGCTACCAACCTGTTCTAAATGTAAACAACACAGCTCAAAAGCCAAACTCAAGAGAGATAAGGGGAAACAAGACATGAAGAACTGTATAAGACAATGAAAATGGAATCTGAAACATAAAATGGGTCGGGTCTAAACCAGAAATGCTATAATGGCGGCAGATATTAGGCAACCTATAACAAGATGGACGGCTGCAATGAACATTTGGCAATAGCATCCTTCAAGCTAGGCTTGCACCCCTTCAACGGGATCCAACAACCGCTAACCAAGAAACCTTTAATGTGCCTCGTGGAGCAACACTATAAGATTGAGGACGATCTAAAAAGAACCGAAGAGCCACAACCGGCACTGCCCCAGCCCAGGAGCCAGAAAAATGAAGAAAAGAAATCATCCGACCATAAGGAGTTAAATGCAATCACAAAATAGTCTAGGCCTTGAAAGAAAGCTTACAAGGCGATGGTCACCACCTTCACAAAACCAATATATTAGATCTTGATGAAGATCCAGAATGAACCCTATTTCCTATGGCCGTAGAAAATGGTCGGAGATTCGTCTCTCAAAAATTGGAGATTGAGATGTTCCTATCATAAAGATTATGTGCAATGCAGAAGGCAACCCTAGAAGGGGGTGAATTGGCTTTATAAATAAATTGTCAAATTAAAATTTTAGATATAAATAAATAGATAAATAAACATATGGAATAATATATATGAGAGTAATAAAAAAATAAAATGAGTA